ATCAAGATTTTAAATAATAAATAAAAGAGTTGTGATTTATTTTCATACATAATTGCATTTAACTAGTAAAATAAAGAAAAGTCACAAAGTCTCAGTTTAAAAACTCAAATAGATTTCAAATTATTCAACATTTAAAATCAAATTGCGGTCAAATGACTGCTCCAGTCTTTCTAGTGTTAAATGGTTTATTAATTTAGCTTGCCCACTTTGTTTCTTTGTTTGTCAAATGTAATTGGACTTTTAACTCCTTCCTGACGATAGATCGATCTGATATTTTGTATCATCACTATCGTCAAATCAAACACTGAAATACTGAAGTCCGGTGCGTTTTAAGGACATGAACCATTGTCTTGGATGCCTCGCGAACTTTTACGTAGACGAGGCTCGTAGTCCTGCAAGTAGCTTTCATTGGCTTTTGCTAAATAATCTCTGGAACTACTGCCTCGTTGGCCGAGTGGTCGCAAGTGCGACTGCTGGTAATGGGGTTTCCGTTTCGATTCCCGGGTCGGCCAAAGTATTATTGAGATGTTTTATAATAACTATCGTAAGAGATACTAACTTAACTAAAAATCGCGGGTTACTCATGTGAATACACTGAGAAAAGCTAGTAATTTCGAACCACAGAGGAGTTCTTCAGTAGCCAGCAGTAGGCTGCGCGAAATCGCCGCGACCGCGCACGCTGCTCATGAATAAGAGCCCCTCTGTGGTTCGAGACTAGTAGTAGAGCTTTTCTCAGTATATTCACGCGAGTAACCCGCGATTTTTGTTTATATTACAGAGATTAAAAAAAAAATTCTCATAGTAGCACGAAGCCTGAAATTGTCCCTTTATCCTTTGCCTTTATCCCCGAAGGGGTAGGCAGAGGCGCACATTACGACACTTAATGCCACTGTACAATGTAACACCCACTTTTCACTATTTATGTTATAGGGGGTGGGCCCGAGGTGAGAATTTTTTTAAAAACCCTGTAGTACTTTGCGCGACCCGGGAATCGAACTGCGACCACTCGGCTAACGAGCAGACGGTACCTAATTTACCTTTATTTGAATTTATTTGAATATATTTCAGGTTCAGTGCATGACTTCCGCTCATTAAAAAGTGGTTTAAAAGAATTGTTCAAAGGATGGCACTTGGACACATCGATGGTAGCTACGTTCTTGAAGCAAACCAGAATATTTAGACCTCCTTGCATCGAGGTTTCGGAATATGGAGGTGAGATTCACTTACAAATAAGTATCAAAGCCATGCTTCCGCGGAAAACCTAACGGGTTACCGGGGCTCCGGCTCGACGTGCAGGAGAAGGAACGGGGTGGTTTTTAGTCAGTAAGAGTCTGACACTCACTCCCGCCTCACCCAGGCGGGAGCAGCCATTCGATGATTTTCCCCACTTAAAAAAAAAAGCCATGCTTCGGTACGCATGGGCCGGTTCTACCGGAGTGATACTACAGCCTCACAGAAAACCGACGTGAAGCAACGCTTGTGTTGTGTTTCGTCGTGTGAGTGAGGTTCCCGGAGACCCAATTACATGAGCATATTTTTAGTACTTAGATGTTAACATGTGTCGTGGATACATTTACAAAATACAGTGAAACCTGGTTAAGTGAGACATCAAGGGACCTGAAATGTCGTTTCACTTATAGAGGTACTAGCTTTTACCCGCGACTTCGCTCGCGTCACAAAAGGATAAAAAGTAGCCTATGTGACATATACCAATACACACAGCGCCATCTATACCAATACTTTTGTTTTCCCTTGGAAATATCAATTTTTTCCTGGATAAAAAGTACCCTATCATTTAATCCAGACTTCTAACTTTACGTCTGCAAAAATTCAAAGCAATTGGTTTAGTAGTTACGGCGTGAAAGCGGAACAAACAAACAAACAAACTCACTTTCCAATTTATAATATTAGTAAGGATTCCACTTACCCAGTGTCTCAGATATACAGGTATAAATAAATATCTGTCTCATTTACAGAGGGTTCCATTAATAAAGGTGGATTTGGAATTACGTGTGTAATTTGCGGGTAGAATAAGAATGAGTAAACAAACAATATTGTTATCTTAGTTACAGAGGTTTATGCATATAAAATTTACTCGCTGTCTCAGTTATAGAGGTAACTATGATGATAAATCGAAAGAACAAATCCCAGATATAGAGTTTACCTCGTCTCACAAACAGAGGTAATTCAGTGCCAAAGTGTTGGGACCTCAGCATGAGTTCCAGTTACGGAGGTTTCTCACTTATCCAGGTCCCACTTAACCAAGTTATACTGTATATAGTATATGGACGTTGCGTCCAGACATTCAAATTCTCGGTTATTTTACTGTACCAATTGCAAAAATATTCACGATAACCTTCATAAACTTAGTAATATTATGAATGTGAATATTTGCGAGTTTGTCTGTATATTTGTTGGTGAATCACGTCAAAAGGGCTAAAGGAATCGGTGTGAAATTTGGATCAAGGGTAGATTATAGACTGGAATAACAAATTTTTACCCGTTTGCTCTATTTTTATAATAACTAGGTATCGTAAAAGGTACTCAATTAACTAAAATCGCGGGATACTCACGTGAATATACTGAGAAAAGCTCTAGCTACCAGTGAACTGCGCGGCGACGTAGCTACGCTGCTTCACGAGGAAGAACCCCTCTTTGGTTCGAAACTAGTAGAGTTTTTTTCAGTATATTCACGTGAGTAACCCGCGATTTTAGTTAACTCTTGACTCGAATCAACGGGAATGCGGGCAAAACCGTTGGCAGAAGATAGTGCCTATACCAATTACATATTTCTAAATATTCTCCACAGGATCCACGAAAACTACGGGTGGTGTCAGAATTTCTAAGCCATACAAGCAGCAAAATAACAAAGACAGGGATGAAGACGATTGTGATGAAATCAATTGACATTCGACATCCCCCCCCCCCCCCTACACACATACACAATCGGCTACTTGACAACTAGTCAATTCAATACTTTTTTCGAACTGTCAAAAACGAGAGTTTTCTATGAATTTTGTACGAGATTGTGTATTGTGACGTCACGTTTTTTTAGCGTCAAACAGCATACTTATTTTGTAAAAATTTGCTGAAAAAATACTAAAATTAAGTTTGTCATAAAATCTAATGAAAGTGTGATTATTTTTTAATATTTTATTGTATTGAACGGTTGAAATAATTTATTTTTTATTAAAGAAAGTATCTACTTAATTCAGACGAAATAGGGATCATCTTGAAATGGGTATTGTGTTATTGGAGACAACGTTACATTTTAATTGTCAGTTAGGCTATTCTATTTAATGTCAATAGGAATGATAAAGAGGGATGAAAATTAAAAATCTATTTAGTCCGTCAGTTAGGTATTGAAAAAATATTAGACACGTATTTTTTTATTTTGTCAAAGTCAAAGTCAAAGCATTTATTTCAACCAAACCATAGTTTGGTACTTTTGAAACGTCAACAAATACAAAATAAATAATAGTCTGTCAGTCAGTCCGTCAGTGAAATTAGGTGAAGCTAGGTGCTCATTACAAAATGTAGATTCGAATGGAGAAGAACGAGCAAGAAACTCCATTCGTTACTCTTTTTTAAAAAAGTATGTATAGTATGTCGTATAACAAAACAATACTTAGATAAAACGAATCAAAGTTTAGGAGTGGGGGCTAAAAAAGTACCGTTTAGAGTACTCTAAAGCAATATCTCCGAAATTTTAAGGAACCCCTAGGCTAAGACACCTAACAGCACAAGAAAGGGGTTACTTTACATAATGCTAAGTGACTTTTAGTTAGGCTTGTGTGCCTACATACACGACTAATGACAATTTTATTAATGTTTAAACAATAATTGTAATTATTCGATTTTATTCATTTAACTTAATTTTAGACAATTGACTAATATTGTGAAGTGTTTAATAAATTATTATTTTATTTAGAACAATTTTTATTAATCATCAACAGCCTATAAATGTCCACTGCTGAGCAAAGCCTCTTCTCACACGGCGAAGGTTTGAGCACCACGCTTGCTCAATGCGGGTTGGCGATGTCAATCTTATAATTAGAAATTATAAGCCCAGGTTTCCTCACGACGGTTTCCTTCACCGTTTGTCAGTGGTGTCTAAATAATCTTAGAAAGTACATATAACTCGGAAAAAGTCACATTGGTAGATACTTGCCGTTGGTAGGTTTCAACTCTATAATACACAGGTAATGTTGAATCTTTATATATACTTCTTATAAATGCGAAATTTTGTATGTTCGTGTATAAGTTTGGCTCAATCACGTCAATAAGGCTAAAGGGATCGGCATGAAACTCAGAACAGGATAGATTATGGTCTGCAAAACACATAGGGTTTGTTTTTCTCACACGGGACCGCGGGCGAAGCCGCTGGCAGAAGTTCATCATCAGCCTGTTTTCGTCCACTGCTGGACATAACTCCAATGGCACGCCACTGAGCTCGGTCTTTAGCTCTACGCATCCAACCACTGCCAGCCACTTTACGTATATCGTCACTCCACCTAGCTGGAGGGCGCCCTACACTACGTTTATCGTACACATACATATATCGAAATAGATTTTCAAGACGCCTGAAAACATAACATCACGCCTTTTATACCCGAAGGGGTAGGCAGAGGTGCATATTACAGCACTTATTGCCACTGTACAGTGTAACACCCACGTTTCACTATTTATATTATGACTCCCATGTAATAGGGGGTGAGCCTAATGCCATATACCGGGCACAATTCAAGACACCGTGCTACTACTGAGATTTTTTGAAAAATCCAGTAGTACTTTGCCCGACCCGGGAATCGAACCCGAGAACCATTGCCCCGGCAGTCGCCCTTGCGACCACTTGGCCAACGAAAGCTAAACAAATATATTTTACTACAAGTAGGTAATAGCTGTTTTTATTTATATTTTCTCAATAAAATCGATCGTTAAACACGTCATTGTATTTCTGCGTTTGGATATTTAAAAAAAACGTAAAGTTTTATCAAGACTACATCTTTCAGTTATAATGTAGAAAGAATCCAAAATATTTTGATTTTGGCTCGAAGAAAATCAATTCATAATAATTGCAATAATGATAAAACATATTGGTTTACTATTTGCATTGTTGGGTAAGTATACAATGTTCTTTATAGGAAAATAATAACGGTTCCCAAAAACAAATTAATCTCCAGCGATCTGTAGCCGACTATAAAAATGGATCTTCGAATAACAAAACTAAACTTCCGAATAGAATATTGAACCTCCGACAAAACTTACTAAGTTACCGACAACAGACGTTTTAGGTTAGGTTAGTATTGTAGCAATATACAGTCATGTTTATATTTCGAAGATTTCAGTATCTCATTCGGTCGTTTCGTCATTTTTATTTGGACAAAAGTAGTCGGAAAGTTAGTATTTTAGGCAGTAGATTTAATATTTTCAGTAAGGACAATTCTTCTTTTGCTGTCGGAGTTTTTATTACTATCGTTTTTTATGGCTAAGCAAACTAAATTACAGACGGATCACCTGATGGTAAGCAATCAGCGTCGCCCATTGACACATAGGAGAGTAGACAGATATGGTCGGTTTTCTGTGGGCCCGTTGTATCAACTCTATTCGTGGCATTTGTGCAGGCCAAAGCCTCATTGCGTTTCCCACAAAAAAAGAAACTGAAAATCTAGAACGACATAACATAACACAACATCCGCAGGCAGAGGTGCTTATTACAGCATTTAATATCACTGTACAATGTAACACCCACTTTTCACTATTTATGTTATGAGTCCCATGTAATATTATTGCCATATACCGGGCACAATTCCCGAAACCGTGCTACTATTGATTTTTTTTAAACTTAGTAATACCATACCTATTATTGGAAGCAAGTTTAACAGCTCACACATAGGACCTACTTAGTTTTTAGTCAAATTTTCGTGGTGCTTGGCGACTGGGCTTCACCCAGTTGTACAGTCTCTTTTTTGTGTTTTTACGCTTAATTCATTCTGTCTCCTGCAGTAATACACCGAGGGAAGTGGAAACTATCGTTTTTTTTCTCCTCTAATAATATCTTCTGATTCATTTCGTTGCGGGAACCAAGACAGTTACTCATGTCCCTGGGACGCGCCGGACTTCAGTATTCCGGTGTTTTCATGGTTGTATCTACTGTAGATCCAGGCTTACAGGAGTTGCAGTGGTTTTGGGAGGTTGTAGCGGGCTTGTACCATTAAAAAAAAGTATCTTAATTTTTCTTACACTTATATTTTTACAGCTCTAACTAATGAAGTACGATCACAAATAAAATTAACTAAAGTAGGTACAGTAACAGATTTGCAAGACGCACTCGATATAATCAAGACTGTACTAAAAAACAATGATAATATAGAACCAAATGATAATGACGATGGTCTTAGAACATTTAATTCAGCTGAATGGAATTATGATTTTGGAGATATAAACAACGCTCAAGTACAATTGAAAATTAAACCCATCGATGAAAGAGATCCTAATAAAAAACAGTTTAGGTACAGACCTCGATTTCGTCCTTCGAAACCGAATATCAATAGCAATAAGATGACTACGAGAAGGATGACTATCAAACCATACGTAAGATCTATTATACTTTATGGAACTTTCAAATTTGTCAATGATACAATATAAGGGAGATATATATTTCAAATGTGGGAGAGCCATGCTTCGGCACGAATTGGCCGGCTCGACCGGAGTGATACCACGGCCGAGCAGAAAACCGACGTGAAACAACGCTTGCGTTGTGTTGTGTCGTGTGAGTGAGGTTACCGGAGGCCCAATAACCCCCTCTCTAGTCTCCCGAATCCCTGAATCCTTCACAATCCTCAAATTCCCTATTCCCAAAAGGCCGGTAACTCACTTGTAACGCCTTGGTGTTCTAGGTGTCCATGGGCGACGCCGATTGCTTACCATCAGGTGATCCGTCTGCTCGTTTACCGGCTTATGCTATAAAAAAGGAGTGTATATTGCACCTGGACACTATCATTAGCGCTACTGTGGTGACCCTAAGTCACCAAATTAGACACTATGCAGGCACCTTGGAACGAGCAAATAGCTTCACTAAAGGACTGACTGAGAGACGGTCATTTTTTATACTTCAATATTTTGTTTAGATGTTCAAGCGTCTCCCTGGGGGGCTTTTTTAAGTGGGGAAAATCATCGAATGACTGCTCCCGCCTGGGTGAGGCGGGAGGCAGTGTCAGACTCTTACTGACTAAAAACCACCCCGTTCCTTTTCCTGTACTTAGAGCCGGAGCCCCGGTAACCCTATAAGTTCTTCGAGGATCCGAATCGGCATCAGCCCTATTGCGCCCCATCCGTGTGGTCTGGTGGCTTTCCTGGAAGCTTACTCTTGAATTCAACTCCGATCGATCGACATTGGTATTGTGAAATTTCGTACTATTGAGTTGCAACACTAGCGCCCATTGCATCCGTATTGAGTGGACATTGAATGAACTAAATGGTATTGAGTTTGACTTTATATTCCGTACTCTGAATGCTATTTTAACAGCTTCTACGATAGGTGTTGTACTGTTTTGACACTAAGTAATTATTGAGATTTTAATAGATTCAAATTGCATTGAGATTGGTTTTTTTGACACCAGAGTCCACATACCACACTGCATCAGTATCAATATAGACCTCTACTGCTGCCGTCCGAGTATCATCACTGCGAGGTCCGCCCTGAGAACACGGTGGAACAACCTTCGTGGGCTGAGCACTGCCATGCCCTCAGGGCCGTAATCGGCGACGGCGACCTCTTGCGTCCGGCCCTAGTGCGGGTTATGATGCGGAGCGAGGGAGACTGGAATGCCGTCTCCTCCTTTTGCGAAGCAGTCATTCTAGCTAAAGAGGAGGCGGGGCGCATGAGGCAGCGAAGCGCTGCCTCCTCGCAACCCAGCCATCGCGAAGGACACACCGGGCGTCGGGGATCGCGGGACGATCTCCGGCCACCGTAAGCGAGGGCCTGCGGACGGCGAGCATGTATGGCACCCCGTCCGACCAGAAACAGATCCGAGCGTACGGCGCGTCGCGTTCTGCGCGCGCCTCAAAGAGCTATCAGACCACCACAGATGGGGCCCAAAAGGGCTGATGCCGATACGGAGCCGCGGAAGACTTAACGGGTTGCCGGGGCTCCGGCTCGAAGTTCAGGAGTAGGAACGAGGTGGTTTTTAGTCAGTAAGAGTCTGACACTCCCTCCCGCCTCACCCAGGCGGGAGAAGTCATTTGATGATTTTCCCCCGTTAAAAAAAACCTTAGGCTACTTATACTACTTATGCTTACATATATTAATTTTTTTTTCAGGCTACAGTGACCCAGAACTTCGTAAAAAATGTCTTAAGTATTATAAGTGGATAGCTGTAAGTGCAGTTTAATGGAAAATTTATATTTTCGAAGATTTAATCATCAAAATAAAAACGTCTTTACATAAACTTGTGGAAAACCACTTTAACTCGTTGAGTACCGTCATGAACAATAGGTTGCGGTCACCGGTGTCCTCGCGGTGTTTGACAGTTTAAAGTGAAACGTTAAAACGATCTTTATGTATAATATCTGTAATAATTTTATAACCACCATCTGTACACTTAGTTGCAATAAACGCTTTGACTTTGACTTTGACTTTGACTTATACTAATACTAGCGGACCCGACAGACGTTGTCCTGCATATAATATAATAATAAAAATATAATAATAGGTATAGATAAATAACCTAGTAACCGACTGAAGCGCCATCTGCCTAGGGATTAATTGTGAATCTAAGCTATCCAGGGCACCACTCAAAAGCATTGTTTGTCTGGCATAAACGGTAAACGAGCATACGGATCACCTGATGGTAAGCAATGGACACCTGGAACACAAGAGGCGTTACAAGTGCGTTACCGGCCTTGTGGGGATTCAGGAATTGGGGAGATTGGGGGAGGGTAATTTTGCATACAGAAAAATTCTTTTAAATCGGTCAAGCCCTTTAGGAGGAGTTCAATGACATACACACGTACAGCTGAATTATATAAATAAAGATAATGGTGAAATAAAATCATTGAAGATACCCCAATTTTACTAATTTTAAACTCTGTCTTTAATCTTTTATCGGTTTACCCACGTAAAATATACATACTGAGTAAAGCTCTACTAGTTCCGAGTCACAGAGGGAGATAGATCGAATAGGGTTTGTTGAAATATCATCCCCTAAATTTGTTCGTACAAAAGTAGTCTCTATACATCGAAAATGAGCCGCGGAGAACCTAACGGGTTACCGGGGCTCCGGCTCGAAGTGCAGGAGAAGGAGCGGGGTGGTTTTTAGTCAGTAAGAGTCTGACACTCCCTTCCGCCTCACCCAGGCGGAGGAAACCATTACCACCCCTTAAAAAAAATCAGAAATAAGGTCTATAATGTAGTTAGAGGAGAGCGGTCACCGGTGCCCGCTTGGGGGATAAATAGGTAGTCCGTCTGGTAGATTATTTTGAAACATTAGACACGTATATTTTATTTTTCTAGAAACAAATACTTTCTACGATATAACATAACGTAACATGTATGATGTTATTGTATGTCTTTTATTCCCGAAGGGGTAGGCAGAGGCGCACGTTACGGCACTTAATGCCACTGGACAATGTAACACCCACTTTTCACTATTTATGTTATGAGTCCCATGTTATAGGGGGTGAGCCTATTGCCATATACCGGCACAATTCCAGACTCCGTGCTACTACCTACTGAGAATTTAAAAAAAAAAAACCCTAAAATACGTTTCGACGATACCTATATCAATTTGAAATGTCGCGTGACGTCACTTCTAGGTTTATACGTAGAAATGACGTACATTTTATACGTAGAAATGACGTTTCAGCTCCCGCTTTTAACTGACTAATTTTATATAAGTATTGTTGTCTTATGCGACAAAATATAGTTTTTGATTAGGTACCTAACTGAAGGCCTAATTTATTTTTTAATTTTCATTATTGTGGCAAAAGGCTAGACAAAACAAATAAGGCGTTAGGTATTGAAAGGCCAAGGTGTATATTACATAAAGTAACATATTTATTCATTTTAACAATATTTCTTACTGTATCGTGGTATTTAAGCTCAAAGTCGGTTGACACAGCTGTAAGTGGAAAATGGTGAAAACATTCTATTTTTTTTTACTAATCTATCTAAATTTGACGTTTATTAGACTGAGACTTGCGACGATCACAGAAATCCATGTAAACTGCATCGTATTCTGTAACAAAATAATATTTTTTTACATTTTGAAAACCTATACTTAACAGCTATGAATATAAAGAGTAACCTATGGAGTTTCTTGCTCGTTCTTCTCCATAGGAATTTACACCTTGGAATGAGCAACTAGCTTCACTTTTAATTTTTTTTCCTTTAGCCTTAAGCCTTTCTGGTCTAGTTGAAATAAATGATTTTGACTTTGACTTTGACTTTGATAAATTAAATACAATAAGGGACTATAAGGCTGTACTTAAATATTTTTTTTTATGGATCACCTGGTAAGCGATCAGTGCCGCCCATGGAATCCCGCAACACAGAGGAGTCATAGTCAAAGGCCTTTTAAAAAGGATACGCTCTTTTCTTGAAGGTTTGAAGGTCGTATCGGTTCGCAAATACCGCCTAAGCCAAATTATTCCACAGTTTTGCTGTGTGACGCAGAAAGCTACGAGAGAACAGTCGTAGCCTGCTCACCATCTATATGATGAGGATATCTATATATCGTATGCCGTCGTGAGGGTCGGTGGCAAAAAGACGAGGCAGCTGGCAGGTCAGATCAAACAATTCCTCAGAATACTCCTCGAGGTAGTTGGAAGATGCACAACGAAGCTACATCTCTACGCAATGCCAAAGTTAATTAATTTAAAACAAAAACGAAAAAAAAACGTTGACGGCTGACGCCATCTTGTTTTAAACGTTAAAAATATGAAAGTTTTTTAAGTAATTAGTAAATTATTTGAGTGAAGCTCGAAGAATTTTTGCGTAGAACATGGCAAAGCTAGATGTTACACACTTTTGGCGGGAATTAAAAAAGTTCGGCCGATGGATTCGGCTTAGATTGTAAAATTATGTTAAATAACTAAGTTATTGAAAGTCGTTTTTTTTTTCTTTAAGGGGGGAAAATCATCGAATGCCTGCTCCCGCCTGGGTGAGACGGGAGGGAGTGTCAGACTCTTACTGACTAAAAACCACCCCGTTCCTTCTCCTGCACGTCTAGCCGGAGCCCCGGTTACCCGTTAGGTTCTCCGCGACAATTGAAAGTCGTTACAAGTCTTATTTCCTGACCTACTATATAGTAGTACCTACTATATAATATAGTCTTGTGCTTAATAGTTCGCAACTAAGATCACTCAGATCAGTTCGCCGCTCCTAAACGAACTAGTTCGCTCTTTTAGTTCGTCAACTCCCGACTTCCAGTTGGAGTTGGAATTGGAATGAATCGCATAAGAACTAGGAAGGCACTGGCAACCAAATCGCTCCCTAGTTCGTCAGCTCCCGACTCCTAGTTGGATTTGGAATTGGAATGAATCGCATAGGAACTAGGAAGGCACTGGCAACCAAATCGCTCCCTAGTTCGTCAGCTCCCGACTCCTAGTTGGATTTGGAATTGGAATGAATCGCATAGGAACTGGGAAGGCACTGGCAGCCAATTCGATCCCTAGTTTTGATGCAAGTTCCTGCACGCAATGAAATATTTATAATTTTCAAGTGAGATCATATTATGTTATCGTATTTTTTAGTTTAGTTCTTCACCATAGACTATACATATAAACGACTTCACAATCCTTGTACTTGTACTTTGAAATACGAACTAAGGAACTAAGGAGTCGGGAATGACGTGAACTAGTTCGCATATTTTGAATGTGGGAGCGCTCTTTTGAACTAGTTCGTTCGCGAACTACACAAGTCTAATATAATAGTAACTACATTATATATATTTTTAAATTACCTTGTAAAGTAGAATTACGGCAGTTGACAGCGTCCATGTAGCATTGGTTCTTGAATAAAACGATGTGACTGTCCTTCGAGCTCATTGCACAGACTGGATCCAGGTCGGCCGAACAGTCATCCAAGTGGGGGCATCCCTCTCGCAAGAACATCACGTACATGTGGCAGAACTTGGTTTCTACTGTATCGTATTCTACAAAAAGTTATTAAATAAAAACTCTAATCCAAGAATCCAAGTTTCGTCAACCGATGCTTACGTCGCTCCCTCAGTATTTATTGGTTCGAGACTGTTGTAATCATATCATCATCATCATCAACAGCCTATAAATGCCGCTGCTGAGCAAAGCCTCTTCTCACACGGAGAAGGTTTGAGCATTAATCACCACGCTTGCTCAATGCGGGGCGGCGATTACAAACTTATAATTAGAAGTTATAAGCCCAGGTTTCCTCACGATGCTTTCCTTCACCGTTTGTCAGTGGTGTCTGAATAATCTTAGAAAGTACATATAACTCGGAAAAAGTTACATTGGTACTTGCCGTTGGTGGGTTAGAACCCGCACCCTCATGAATGAGAAGCGGGCGTCTTAAACCTCCAGGCCACCACGACATGTTGTAATCATATATCAAAATAATAAAAGTATCTATTTGTTTGTGGAACGTAGAGACTAAATATGTACGTAGTGCGTTTATAGTATAAAAAAATATAATTGTCTATGTACACTTTTAAAGATGGAATAAAGTTAAATAAAAAAAATAAAAAAATAGTTTAGTCTGTTTGCTACATTCACGTGTTTTGCTTATAGAGACCAGTTCCAATGTTCCTATCAGAGGTTCCAATGTGCAGATCAAACTTCGCACGCAGGGATGGATAAGCCATACGCTCCGAAGGGGTCCCAAGCAATTCTTCCCTAGGGGAAAAAGAACTGTGTCCGTCTTCGGCAAATCGCTAGGTTTGCGATTAAAATGATAGCAGAAGCGGCGAGCATCGGAATGACGTGGAGCGAGATGAAGTGAGAAGCTCAGAACCGATTTAGATGAAGGACCTCTGTGGACACCCTCTGACCTATTTAGGGGACAATATAGAAGTTTAAGTCAAGTGAAGTCCACAGAAATACCAATGTGGGTTTTTGCGAGTTATATGTACTTTTTAATTAGACACCACTGATATATGATAAAGGAAAACATCGTGAGGAAACCTGAACTTATAATTTCTAATTATAAGTTTGAAATCGCCAACCCGCATTGAGCAAGCGTGGTGATTAATGCTCATACCTCCGTGTGAGAAAACACCTTTGCACAGCTGTCGGATGCCTCGTTAATCGAATGATCACAATTTCGACTCGATGAAAGCTATTGGAATAATAGGGTAGATACCTAATTTTTATTTTAATATCCGTCTGGTAGATTATTTTAAATCACTATACACGTATATTATCTTACCAAACGAATGTTTAACGATGTATTGATTTGAAATGTCGCGTGACGTCACTTCTATTTATTTATTTATTTTATACTTCATCGCACACACAGAAAATAAAAGTTGTTAACATTGCAATAGTAATTTGAGTACAATGGGCGGTCTTATCACACGCGGCGATTTCTTCCAGACAACCTTTGGATGGAATTTTTAAAAAGAATCACTCACTTCCATGTACATTTTATACGTAGAAATGACGTTTTAGCCCCCACTCCTAAACTTTGATTCGTTTTATCTAAGCATTGTTTTATTATAAGACAAAATAAAAAAAAATCGTGCTAAAATTTTTTCATTACGGACTAATTATATTTTTATTTTTCATACTCTGTCTACATTCGAATTGAAAAATTGAAATAAATAAAACAACTTTAAATATACTTACTCAATGTCCCACGAAAGTTGGAGCATTGGTTGTTTAAAATCAAATGACAGATGCTTTGAAACCATTTGAACTTCATATTTCTCCTGTTCAACCCACAGGCTTGTTTGTGGTAATCATTGCAATGATAAACATCGCAGTAATCCATCCACGCTGGGTTGTACAGCTGTCGGTAGCGGCTACCCCAAGATGGCGGCATTTCAGGCTTCGAAAACTCTGAAGTACATAATTTAATTCACTTAAAGGTGCTCCCTCATCGAGAGCATTCGCGTGTATTGTAACGTTACAGATCTGAGCATTAACATCAGTGAAGGAGGAGAACCGAGCATTACAATGCGCACCTTGTAATGATACATTGTGTAATATCTTGATACAACTTGTAACATCAATGCGTTCCACTTCCCCCAGCCCTCCGCCCGCCCGCTTCGTCTCACATCTTGCTATGAAATGCTTAAATTCGAATCAATATGTTACAACATAAGCAAATGCTCGTTAGTTAGGGAGGTATTATTGTAATGTAATGCTCGAAGTCGAATCTATAATGTTACATTACACATGAACGTTCCCGGTGAGGAGTTCTGCGGGCAACGGAGGGCCGATTTTCCAATCATCAGTTACTTCTGAACTGTAAAATATAATCGTCATTTGACATTTTTTAGTGTAAAAATGACATTATTGTCGGGGAGATGGAGTCTGGAAATGACAACACTATAAAAGTATCGTCATTTTCGAGGATTTAATGTCTTTAAAATTTGTTTTATTATGTTCTTATTTTTGGTGACACTGTATTCTCGAAAAACGATATTAATTTTCGGTCGTCATTTTCGGTGAGTCGTGTTTCCTCGAGAATGATATTAATCGGGCAGATGCCCGATACGGAGCCGCGGAAGGCCTAACGGGTTGCATAAGTAGGAAAGGGGTGGTTTTTAATAACCCAAGGCGAGTGATGCCATTGGATAATTTTCCTCCCTCATAAAAAACCGTTATATGAAAATATTTTAGTCTTACCTCTTTTCCGATCTCGTATGAAGTTTGGATTTTCTCTTTTGGGTGAGTTCCTATTAAAAATAGATGCATTTCGTTATCATTAGAATTACGCTTGAAAGAGGCATGCTTCGGCACCAATGGGCCGGCTCTACCGGAGTGATACCATGGCCGAGCTGAAAGCTATAGTGAAATGACCAAAGCGTTGAGTTTCGTCGTGAGAGTGAGGTTACCAGTGGCCCAATCGTCCAGTAACACTGGCAAAGCACTTGTAACTCCTCAAGTCTGTGCCCATTGTAGTAGGGGAGCCCACGATGCTAAATTGGGATTTACTCAAACGTCGTAGGGACCTAGTGGATTTTGAAGATGCTAATAGAAAGAAATGTACCAGACACCTAAAAGCAGCATAAACCATCCACGCGCGGTGCGTGCTTACCGATCTCCAAGCGCGCGCACCGGCCCAGGAGTTTTTATATGTCCACGACAATCCACGATCGCCGCCTCGACGACAGCAGCGACACGCCTTGAGCGCGGCAGTCCCGTGAACTACTAGTCGTTTATGATTGGTCCGTCATATTTTGAGTAAAATTAATATTTACCCCAAATGTATAAATAAGCTGAGTAAACCTTCTAATAAATCATTCTGTTCCAAAACCTCACTCGCGTTTTACTTACCATCCCTTGGTAAAGAAATATGGTTTAGTGAAAATATGGTTTAGTGAAAATTGGGGGAAGGGGGAATCTTTGAAATTGTAACGCGTAAGTTTTGTTCTAGTGGTCAAGCGTGTTAGATATTGATAGTGTACAAGATCCACGTGTCTCTGATAATTAAAAACTCTTAATCTGCCAGTTTGCATTAAGTGGTTTACTCTCTGTTAGGAAATTGTACATCACACAACTGATTTTAAAAAAACACAAAACTGTTTTTTATGACAGTAAAATATTATCAAAGAGACGTAAAGATATGATTGCACAAGTTCCACAAACTAAAACTAAACTTGCTGCTATACAATACAATAAACGCTCTGCACAAATATATAATAAGGTAAACAAAGAAATATACATATACACTAAACAACTACACGAATGTAAGAAATTGCTAATCGAATGGATAAAAAATCTAACATACGAAAGTACGGAAGCCCTGCTGCAACACGTAAAATAACCATCCCTCACACACCCTCGCAGATACACCACGACACACACGCCACACACACAGATACGCGCACCTCACACACACATACACCCCACACTCACATACACCCCTTACACATAAATCTATTTATATAAGTCAATAAACTGGTAATTGTAAAAACCAAAAACTTTTGAAATATTGTTATGTTATGGAAGAGCGGAGTCTCCTAATACAGGCATTATTTACCTAAAAGGAGGCTCCAATCACAATCTATTGTTAAAAAAATATTTGGTTCAGAAATAAAAA